GGCGTCTGTCCTGCTACGGATGAGGTGACTTGGTTAAGTTTTATTTTTAATTGTTATAAGTGGCAGTAGTAGACTTTGGGTAGTTTGAACTAAAAAGGGCGTTAATTGGAGGCAGGCTGGAGTAGCACAGGAAGCGCTGCATAACTCCTGTGATCTGCGACGGGTAAAGACCAGGGCAGCTGGGGAGAAATTCCCAATTCCCAGGAGAAAGGATCTGGTTGGTCTGGCTTGGGCCGTGTGCCCACCTCTGGTTCTGGCATCTGTGGCTGCAGGGCTAGTACACATTACAGACAAGGCCGCTAGTGGCCTCCTCCCCAGATACCGGGAAACTTCCCTTAACGTTGTCTGCCACAGACAGGCCCAAGAGAGGTACATTCATTTGCCTAAAGTTACAAGGTAGTGGCAGAACTGAGAATAGTTCTGCCCTTAGACTTGGGGAGGAAAAAGGGCCTCTGTCTTTGGCCCTAGTGCTCTAGAAGGTCCCACTCTAGCCTTCTTCCAGCCATTCCCCTTACAGGGTAAGGATTCCATGGGATCAAGATGTGTCCAGTTGGAGCCCATAGATCTCCCCCCGACCCAGTTCTAGACCACATTCTGGATACCTAGGGCCCTCAGAATCTCCTGCCCTGACAACCCCAAGCTTCATTCTCAGGTTTTTTTGGGCTTCTTCCCTAATCTGCCTGCAGAGTGCAGACCTTGCCCCTGTGTCTGCATGCCTAGGCCTGAGGGCTGGATGCTTATGGGGAAGAAGAGCTGAGTGGCCACCCTCAAATGCAGAACCTCTGGCACTGTGGGACAGAGCCAGAGGTGAGAAGAGACGGGGGAAAGGAAGGGGACAGCTTTCCCAGTACACCGTGTTCAGGCACAGAACTCCCAAGGAGTGTGAGAATTCCAGATTTGAACCTGGTCTTCCAGGTGATTATGAAGAAGGTATATTTGTCAAGGCAGGAGAATGCAATGGTCTTTAAATAATAGCTTGTTGGTGGGATTTATAACTAAATATGTAGACATAGTATACGAGTTTTCATTTGTACTCTTGCCCCAGACGCTGAAAGTGTTAAAGGTGGACCTGCCTGCGACTGAGAGTCTAAAACACAACTTTTGTTTTCCTCGTTTGTCATATAGTGGCCTAAAAAATCAGTAGATTCTTAGCATTGCTCTTAGCCAGGCAGACTACACAAATTTTGAATTAAGGTCTTGGTAGTCTTTGAAACCTGATAAGACTTTGTTTCCTCATTCTGGTGGCATTCTCAGACCGTACCGCTGATGGCTTGATCTGTGTTGCAAGACTTGTTAAGAAGGGTTTGGCAGGGCCAGCCCGGTGGCTCAGCGGTTAAGTGCGCGCACTCCGCTACTGGCGGACTGGGTTCGGATTCCGGGCGCGCACCGACGCACCGCTTCTCCGGCCATGCTGAGGCCGTGTCCCACATACAGCAACTAGAAGGATGTGCAACTATGACATACAACTGTCTACTGGGGCTTTGGGG